TCTGAGGAAGAATGGGTGGGCTCGCGAGCTGTGCGGGGCGCCTGCGGGTAGCGAGAGGGCACCCTCCCGCCCGCGGGGCGCACGTCCGTGGGGGCGGTCTCCTGCCGGGCTCCTTGGGCAGGAGAGGAGCCGGCCCCGAACTGTGAAAGCTGGGCCCTCTCGTGGGAAGCGCCCCGGCCGCTCGGCCCCCCCCGCCCCCCGCCCGGCGCCATCCGTCCACGGGGCTGCGCTGAAGCGTTGGCGTCTGTTTTCTGAATTGAACTCTACCCTTAAAGGAGGGACTGTGGCTTGCTAATGTCATTTTAAGGAGAGCATTGCTGGCTCTGAAGCAGTGCGAAAAGTAGATTGAGTAACTCTACAGTAAGGGTGTCCTAGGATGGCTTTTGAGCGGATGGACATAGCACTTAGTGTATTTCAGTTCTATAAGCTGTTTTTAAAAAACACACAACTTCTTTGTCGTCGTTTTATGTGTATTATAGGAAGTAAATGAAAAGTTGCCGGATGACTTTTGGGGCAGTGGGAAGAGGTGACTCAGTGAGGCTGTCAGGGGGATAGGCGACCTGGTGGTGCGGGGAGAGGACCGAGAACGTCTCAGATTCCCAGAAATCCACCTGCTCCACTCAGGGTGGTTTAGATAGGAGGTGGCCTGCTTTATGTAAACATAAGTCATGCTTCTGTGAACAAATAATTATTGTTCAGTTGAAGAGGGAAATGTTCCTAGTACCATTTTATTTTATATATACATAAAGGGACAGAGATCACATTATTTTCCTGTACTATATAAATTTATTTACCACTAAATATATTTTATGTCTTTTAAAGCTATAGAATATCTTTACTCATCTAAAAATTGTTTCATCTTACAGGTTTCGTTGTTCAGATTTGCAGCCTTATGTATTATAAACTAAGGGTCTCTGTCATAGTTTTATATTTAAAAATCAACTGATAAAATACTATTTTATTTTATTTTTTTAATGTAACTATTGATCTCAGAGAGAGGAAGGGAGAGGGAGAGAGAGAGAGAGAAACATCAGTGATGAGAGAGTCGTTGAGAGCCTCCTGCACACCCCCTGTTGGGGATCGAGCCCGCAACCCAGGCATGTGCCCCAACCGGGAATCACACCCTGGATCCTAGGTCGATGCTCAACCTCTGAACCACGCCGGCCGGGCTATATAATGTGATTTTATGTGCAGATGCTTCAGTTAATATTTTCAGAATGGATCAGGGTCATCTTTCGCCTTCGGTTTTCAACCACCTGTCATTTTAGTCACGTGGTTCTTTGAGCAGTTCAGCCGTTGGGGTGCGGAGGGATGACTGAATCGTGCGTAAGGTGAACTAGATGGTGATACCCACATTGGTAAGAATCTGTTGTTCGTATCCGATATGCTTGCCCTGGCCCTCCTAACAGCATATTCACGTGGCTTCATCTCCCTAGAGACATCACACGCGAGAAGAAACACGACATGCTCCTTTTAACACCTGTATTTTCTTCCTATCAGGGTGTGCTGGAGAGCTTCCTGGGCACGGCTGTCTCTGGAGCCATCTTCTGCCTCTTTGCTGGTCAGCCACTCACTATTCTGAGCAGCACAGGACCTGTTCTAGTTTTTGAGAGGCTTCTATTTAATTTCAGCAAGTATGTATATACACATCTAATTACAAATCGGGATTGTTTAACTGTAGAACATTCGTAGTCTGTGTGGGGCACCGAATAATCGTTCAGTAGATCAGAATATGGGAGTTGGAAGACTTGGAGGTTTAAAGACCCTGAGAGACTAGGTTGCCCCACGGTCATTGTACATTTAATTCAACTGCCCCCCTTTCTTTCTCGGCCCCTCTGTCCTGCCGGGGCGCCTTTGCCTCCGGCTTCCTGCTGGGCTTGTTGACATGAGGCACCCACAGGACAGGAACAAGCGAGGTGCGGGGGTGTGTCTGCCCCGCCTTGCTGGCTCTGCTTTCGCCCCATAGCCCGCCAGTGGCTCGTCCCTTGAGGACAGCCCCTTCGGGTGGCTCCTCTGCCCTGGCTGTGGCCCTCGCCAGGCCCCGGTGACTCTGTGTCCTTGGCCTTTTCAAGCCAGGGGGTAGAAATGGCTTCCTGATGTTGCTAGTCCCTGGGTGCCCCCCATTCTCCGTCACTCACCCCCCAAAGAGCCCATTTATTAAGGCTTGTTTTTCCTCACACACCCATTTGAGAATGACTGGTCTTCTGCCATGATCCTGCCTGGCCCACCAGAGAAGTGAGATGTCTTGCAAGGTCACGTGGCGCGTTCGTGGAAGAGGCCAGGTGTGCCCCCGGCCCGCGGCTCCTAAGCGTGATTGCGCGCTGTTAGCTGAAGATCCCGTGTGGGACTCAGCTGGGGATCACTAGTGTTCGCCGCGTGCGGGCCGCGCCGAGCGGCGTCC